TGATGGGCCTGCTGGTCAAATTTTGGGTGTGCTGGTCGCTTGAGTGGTGCCTCTGTCAGATTGAGTGGTCCTTGGCGATTGGGGTGCCTGTGGGCAACTCTAATGGTCCCGCTGTCGAAAACCTAGTGGGTGTGTCAACCTTTAGTGTGCCCCGCTGGTCAGACCTGAGTGGTTTCCCGCGGTCAGACTCAGGGTGCCTGCGGGGGCAACTCTGAGTGTGCCTGCTGGTCAGACTTGAGGGTGCCTCTGGCAGCTTGAGTGGGCCTGCTGGTCAGACTTGATTTGGGCCGCTGGTCAGACTCTGGTTTGGGGCCTGTGGTCAGACTCTGAGTGGGCCTGCTTTAACTCTGAGTGGGGTGGGGCCCCCGGGTCAGACTCAATGGGCCCTGCGGTCGACTTTTAAATGGTTCCTTTAAAAAATTAGTGTTTGTCAAACTTGCTTACTGCTTTAAGAAGTTGCAGAGGGGCTTGGTACAGTAATTTTCATTTTTCAAAATGACAACCTCCCACCCTTTTTAAATTTATTGGCCTCGTGGGGTGGTAACGGGTTGGGTGGGCGGCTGGGAGGGCGGTTTGGGGGGCTTTTGGGGGTGGGGGGTTTTTGGGGGGGGCAATTAAAGGGTTTGGGGTGGATGAGGGTTTTTTGGGGTGGCATGATGGGTTGTGGGGTGCTATGAGGGGGTTTTGGGGGGGCTATGATGGGGTTGTGGGGTGGCTTGAGGGTTTTGGGGTGGCAAAAGTGGGTTGGGGGGGTGGCTATGAGGGTTTGGGGGGGCTATGAGGGTTGTGGGGGGGCTATGTGGGGTTTTTGGGGGGCTTGATGGGTGGTGGGGTGGCATGAGGGTTGGGGGGGTGGTATATGGTTTGGGGGGGCCCGGGGTGGGGGGGTGGCTTTATGGGGTTTTGGGGGGCTAGATGGGTTTTGGGGTGGCAATGATGGGGGGTGGGTGGCTTGAGGGTTGTGGGTGGCTAGAAGGGTTGGGGGGGTATGAGGGTTGTGGGGTGGCTATGATGGGGTTGGGGGTTGCCTTTTGATGGGTTGGGGTTGGGGGTTTTGAGGGTTGTGGGGTGGCTAGAGGGTTGTGGGGGGGCTTGAGGGTTGTGGGGTGGCTAAGATGGGTTGTGGGGTGGCAAAGATGGGTTGTGGGGGGGGCTATGATGGGTGTGGGGGGGTATGATGGGGTGTGGGGGGGCTATGATGGGTGGTGGGGTGGCTTATGGGGTTTTGGGGTGGCTTGGGGGTTGTGGGGGGCATGATGGGGTTGGGGTGGCCCATGAAGGGGTTTGGGGGGCTATTGGGGTTTTGGGGGGGCTATGATGGGGTGTGGGGGGGCTAGATGGGGTTTGGGGGTGGGGTTGATGTGTTGTGGGGGGCTATGATGGGTTGTGGGGTGGCATGAGGTTTTGTGGGGGCTATGTGGGTTGTGGGGGGGCTTGATGGGGTTTTGGGGTGGCTAGAGGGGTTTTGGGGGGGGCTATGATGGGTTTGGGGGGCTAAGGGGTTTTGGGTGGCTAATGGGTTGTGGGTGGCATGAGGGTGTGGGGGGGGGTTGGGGGGTTTTGGGGTGGCTATGATGGTTTTGGGGGTGGCTTGTGGGGGGGGGGGGGGCTTTGAGGGGTTTGTGGGGGGCTAGTGGGTTTTGGGGTGGGTATATGGGTTTGGGGTGGCTGTGGGGGTTTGAGTGACTATTGATTGTGGGGGGGCTATGAGGGTTGTGGGGTGGCTATGATGGGGTTTGGGGGTGGCATGTGGGTGGTGGGGGGCTATGAGGGTTGTTGGGGGGGCTAGAGGGTTGTGGGGTGCTTGTGGGTTTGGGGGTGGCATGATGGGTGTTGGGTGGCTTGGGGTTTTTGGGGGGTAGATGGTTGTGGGGTGGCTATGATGGGTTTGGGGTGTCTTGATGGGTTTTTGGGTGGCTGTGGGGGTTTGTGGAGTGACTAGATGAATTTTGGGGGGGCTATGATGGGGTTTGGGGGGGGCTAGGGGGTGGGGGGTGGTATGAGGGTGGTGGTGGCTATGTGGGTTTTTTGGGGTGGCTAAAAAAGGTTGTGGGGGGGCAAAGATGGGTGGGGGGGGTGGCTATATGGGTTTTTGGGTGGCATGAGGGTTGTGGGTGGCTATGATGGGTGGGGGGTGGTAATGGGGTTTGGGTTTGGGTATGTGGGGTTTTGGGGGGGCAGAGGGTGGTGGGGGGCTATGATGGGGGGGGGGTGGCTATGAAGGGTGGTGGGGTGGCTATGTGGGGGGTGGGGTGGCTATGAGGTGTGTGGTGGCTAAAGGGTGGGGGGGGGCTATGTGGGTGGTGGTTGGCTAGAGGGGGGGTGGGGGGCTATGAGGGTGGTGGGGGCTTGTGGGTGGGTTTGGGGGGGCTATGAGGGTGGTGGGGGGCTATTGGGGGGTGGGGTGGCTAAGAGGGTGGTGGGGTGGCATGATGGGTTGTGGGGGGCTTGATGGGTGGGGGGGGGGCTTGAGGGTTTGTGGGTGGCTATGAGGGTGGGGGTTGGCTATGAGGGTGGTGGGGTGCTTGATGGGTTTGGGGTGGCTTGATGGGTGGTTGGGGTGGCTTGATGGGTTGTGGGGTGGGTAAAGAGGGGGGTTGGGGGGGCTATGATGGGTGGTGTGGCTAAGATGGGGGGAGGGGGGGTAGATGGGGGGTGGGGTGGGTATGTGGGGGGGGGTGGGATAGGGTGTGGGGTGGCTATGATGGTTGTGGGGGGCTTGATGGGTTTTGGGGTGGCATGATGGGTGTGGGGGGCAAGAGGGTTTTGGGGTGGCTTTTGATGGGTGGTGGGGTGGCAAGATGGGTTTGGGGTGGCTTTTTGGGTGGTGGGGGCTTGGGGGTGGGGGGTGGCTTGTGGGTTGGGGGGGCATGAGGGTTGTGGGGTGGCTTGATGGGTGTGGGGTGGCTATAAGGGTGGGGGGGGTGGGATGATGGGTGGTGGGGGGCTAGATGGGTTGGGGGGTGGCTAAGATGGGTTGTGGGTGGCAGATGGGTGGGGGGTGCTATGGGGTGGTGGGGTGGATGAGGGTTTGGGGTGGCATGAGGGTTTTGGGGGGGCTATGGGGTGGTGGGGTGGTATGAAGGGTGGGGGTGGTATGGAGGGTGGGGGGGGGCTTTAAAGGGTGGGGGGTGGCTATGAAGGGTTTGTGGGGGGCATGATGGGTTTTGGGGTGGGTTGTGGTGGTGGGGGTATGAAGGGTGGTGGGGTGGGGGATGGGTTGGGGGTTTGGGTATGGGGTGGTGGGGTGGCTGTGGGGGTGGGGGGGGTTTGATGGGTGGGGGGGGCAAGGGGGTGGGGGTTTTAAAAAAACACCCAAAATTTGGAAAAAAAATTTCAAAATGTTTGCCCACCCGGGGCTTCCCGGGTTTGTACGAGCGAAGAAAAACCTTTTTCCCGGGCGAAAGTCACAATGAGGGGGAATAAGACGTGGAGATGACATATGTTAAAAAACGCTAATCCCAAAGTTGATACTTTTTCCTTTCCTCTTCCTTCCTTCCCTTTCCCTCCCCCTCCTTAAATTCCTTCCCCCCCTTTTTTCCTTCTTCCTTCCTCCCTCCTTCTTCCCCTTCCCCTTCCCTTTTCCTTCCCCCCCTTCCCTCCCCTCCTCCCTTCCCTTTCCCTCTTTCCTTCCCTCCCTCCTTCCTTCCCCCCCCCCTCCCCTTCCCCCCCTCCTTCCTTTCCCCCTCCCCTTCCTTCCCTCCCCCCCTCCTTTCCCCCCTCCTTCCTTTCCCCCCTCCCCTCCTTTTCCTTCCTTCCCTCCCCCCTTCCTCCTTCCCTCCCTCCTTCCTTCCCTTTTCCCCCCCTTCTTTTTCCCTCCTTCCTTCCTTCCCTCCCCCCTTTCCTTCCCTCCCTCCCTTTCCTTCCCCCCTTTCCCTTCCCCTTTCCCCCCTCCTTCCTTCCTTCCTCCCCCTTCCTTTCCTTTTCCCCCCTTCCTTTTTTCCCTCCCTCCTTCCTTCCCTCCCTCCCTCCCCCCCCCCCTCCTTTTCCTTCCCTCCCCCCTTCCTTTCCCTTCCCCCCCTCCTTCCTTCCTTCCCTCCCTCCTTCCTTTTTCCCCCCCTCCTTCCTTCCCTTTCCTTCCTCCTTCCTTCCTTTCTTTATCCCTTCTTAACTCGCAGTTCTATAGTGAAAGAAGAAAAAAAGAGAATAAAGATGATGCAAAGAGGGGGGGAGTGAAGGAATGTTGGGGGGGAAGGGAGGGGAGGGGAGAGGAGAGGCAGGGGAGGAGGGGTGAGGGGGAAAAAGGGTGAAGGGGGAATGAGGGGAGGGGAGGGAGAGGGAGGGGGGGAGAGGGGGTTTAGGGGAAGGGGTGAGAGGGGAGAGGAGGGGGGGAAAAGGGGGAGGGGAGAGGGGAAGGGGAGGGGGAGAGGGGGGGGAGGGAGGGGGAAGGGGGGAGGGGATGGGGGGGAGGGGGGAGGGGGGGGGGGGGGGGGGGGGGAGAAAAGGGGGGGGGTGAGGGGGGGGGGTGGGGAGAGGGGGGGGGGGGGGGGGTGAAGGGGATGAGGGGGGGGGGGGGGTAGGGGGGGGGGGGGGGGGAAGGGGGGGGAGGCCTCTCACGCCCCCCCGCCCACTTTCTTTTCTTATAAAAGAATTTTTTTGCAAACCTAGAAATAGGGGGGGAAAAGGGTCTGGAGGGGGGAGAAGGGTTGTGAGGGAGGGAAGGTATGTGGGGAGGGTGGGTTGTGAGGGCAAAGTTGTGAGGGCAGAGGGTCACGAGGGGAGACGGTCTGTGAGGGCAAGGGGGTCTGCGAGGGGAAAGAAGGTTTGTGAGGGGGAAAAGGGGTGGTTTGGAGGGGGGGTAAGATTTGCAAAGGGAAAGGAACGAGAGGAGGGTTTAGAGGGGAAAAAAAGGGGTTTGCGAGGGAAAAAGGAGGGGTTTTCGGGGAAAAAGGGTTGTGAGGGGGGAGGAGGGTCTGGAGGGGAGAGGGGTTCTTGAGGGAGAGGAGGGGCCCCGTGAGGGGGAAGGCGCCACAAACACTTTCAGAGGGAAAAACTAGAGTTTAGTATTCTGCTAAGGGAGCTAGTTTAGGGCTCCAATCCATCCTGTGGATGGTGCACACGAGCCAGGATCACAAAAGGTCTAGGGAAATAGGCCACAAAAAGGGTTTCCCTTAAATTTTTACATGCAAATTTAGGATATTTGCTTAATATATCTGGGGATCTTTTTTCATTAATAAATACCGAATAGGGATAAATTTTATACCATATGTGCCCAAAAAGTGGAAATTTGCAAAATAGTGACCACTGGGCGGCCCATACTTTGCGTATTTGGTATGATCATTCTGGTTGTCAAACTGCTAGAAATCTTGTAACCAAATCAAGCTGGGGACTACAAACATCAGTTTGTCAGATGCCCG